GAGATCAAAACGATTACACAGTAACAATGTACTATGATATGTATTTCTACGTATAAGTATGACATTGGTAACTTTTTCAAAAGAAATGTAGGAACGATATTGACTTCTTTGCCATAACACATTATAATAAAAAAAAACACTAAACGGCTACAAATAAAAAAAAAATTTACAAAATAAAAAAACCGCCTTCAAAAAAAGTCAAGCAATAAAAGTTCCTACACTAAAAAGTAAAAAATAACAATTTGAATTACTGTAAAAAAACTTAGTTTATAGGTAAACTTATTTGACATTAATATTTTGCAAATATTCAAAATTTATTACTTATTTTTGGAGTCGGTGCCAGCCCATGCAAGGAAATACAAATGGGCAACAATCCCTTGAAAAACTACCTCTTACTTAATTATAAAACTACTTAATACCTATTTGCATACTCAAATATAGGTATATTAATTAAGACATAAATACAGATTAGACTTCTCTACAAAAAATGTCCGATTTGCACATTTTTTTTAAATAAAAAATATATACTTACAAAAACATTTTAAGTACATTGAAAATGTTTAAGCATTATGTACGAAAAATGGCACCGGATATTAAAAAGCTAACTAACATTAAGTTTCAACATTAAAATGCTGGCACCGACTCCAAAAATAAGTAATAAATTTTGAATATTTGCAAAATATTAATGTCAAATAAGTTTACCTATAAACTAAGTTTTTTTACAGTAATTCAAATTGTTATTTTTTACTTTTTAGTGTAGGAACTTTTATTGCTTGACTTTTTTTGAAGGCGGTGTTTTTATTTTGTAAAATTTTTTTTTGTAGTGTATAGATCAAATTATTTCTTTCGTCCTGGATGGGACAAAAAGGAGTAGCAGACTCTTACTTACTAAAACACACCCCGTTTCTACTCCTTATTTGAGCCGGGGACGCGGCACCTCATTGTGCTTGCTCTCTCGCTTGTGCTGCGGTTTCATTGACTAACAAATAACAAAACATACCTACACATTACACTGAAATCCAATGCAACTAACTAGGTACTCTACTTATTTGTGGAATTGTAGAGCCTGGTTTAGTACGCTGTTTGTACGCTACAGTAGATCAGTTAGCCACTACACCAATGGAGCAGTTTTTTAATCATTATTGCAAGTAGAGTACACAACTGTGTATTCATTTCTGAAGTTTATGAGCTGGGCAACTGGCTGCCGTGCAACGAGTCGCGGGTTCGATTCCCACACGGAACAACAATTTGTGGATCACACAAAGAGTTGTTCCGAGTCTGGGTGTCATGTGCATGTGAAATTGTATGTTTGTAAACGCACCCACGACACAGGAGAAAATCCTAGTGTGGGGCTACGTATTATATCAACAACAAAAAATGCCTAGTCTATAAAAGTGTGGGAGAGACAAGCTTCGGCACGAATGAGTCGGCTCAACCGGAGTGATACCACAGCCTTACAGGAAACCCTCTTGATACAATTACAGCGTCGTGTTTCGTCGTGTGAGTGGAGGTTACCGGAGGCCCAATCTCTTTGTTTACAATTGTTTTTTATGGCCGTTCGACGAGGTAACTTTTGTCTTCTAATTAGGTCGACTTTTATATTTGGGACTTATTGTAACAAACTAGGCACTTAGGTCGACTTTTACATCTTGGGACTTATTATAACAAAAAACAACAAAATGGTTATATCTACTCAAAAGTGCTTTTTCAAATTGACAATGCCATGTTTATTATGTAGGTACCTAGCTATAATAGACAAAGATAGAAGTATAAAGAAATCACGGCAATATTCATTTGTTTTAATTATCTTATTAATTGTATACTATTTTTGAGTACATACCTAATTAATTTACTAGTATAATTGTGGTATACCAACTTACAAATTAGAAACGACAGAACCTATTCAATTGCAATATACGTACACATCTACAAACAAAATGTTTTATTTTTAGATTTTGTTAATTTGGTATCTAAATACCTAGGTACCTGAATCAGCAACGAAAGTCATATATTGTAAGTTGTAAGGTAAAAAGCAAACTGCGTAGAATGGACAGAACCAAAACCAATATTTATTTGTTTTCCTTTTATTATTGTGAGGTCATTAGGTGGCACATTTAATTTACATTACTTCGCCTTTTTAGGACTGATGTAGGTAATTTACTTAGTAGTCATAAACATGCTGATCTATACTAATTTTATAAACAGGTAAAATTTGTAAGTTTGTATGTAGGGGGTAATCTTTGGAACCGCTAGTTGGATTTCCAAAATTCTTCCACTGATAGATAGGTACAATGTTTCTGAGTGCTTATAGGCTATAAAACATTACGCTACGATCTGTAGGTGCCGAGCAGCAGGGGAAACCGCGCGAGAGTAGCTAGTCAGCTTATATAGGTACCTTTAAGTGGCCTTTCTGGTTTTTCCTTTAACTACACTCTTCTTTATAGTGACTGTAAAAATATGAGTAAACAGGAATAGTATAATTTATGAGGAAACATTATGTAAGTATAGGTATTTACTACTTATATATGTCATACGATATACACGCAGTTGTGGTGAGATTTTTTCCCATATTTGATGAATGATAATTGGGAAGTTTCCTAGCACGAAAATAAAAAACTTTAAGTTTCCTGTACAATGAATTTTTAAAATAAATCTTATCATTTTTTTATGGAATAGGTCGGTAAACGAGCAGACGGATTACCTGATGGTAAGTAATCAGCGCCGCCCATGGACACCCACAATAGAGGTGTAACGAGTGCGTTGCCGACTTTTAGGGATTAGGATTTTGGAGACTTAGGGATTGGGAGGGATCGGGGGAGGGGAAGGATTGGGCCTCCGGTAACGGAAACACAACGCTGTGGTTGTTTCACGTCGGTATTCTGTGAGGCCTTGGTATCACTCCAGTCAAGCCGACTCATTCGTGCCGAAGCTTGGCTCTCCCACACTTAAATATGTATGTCATAAGTCGGCAAACGAGCAGACGGATTACCTGGTGGTAAGCAATCAGCGCCACCCATGGACACTCGAAATAGTAAAGGAGTTGCTACAAACGCGTTGCCGACCTCTTGTACGTTATTAGAGATTGAAGTATAGGGAATTTGAGGTTTGAGTATTGGGCCTCCGGTAACCTCATGCACAGGGCGAAATACAACGTAAGTGTTGATACACGCCGGTATTCAAAATCATACTTCCATGTATTATATGAATGAAATTCAATACTTTTATTGACTAGTCGGAAACTACAAGATTGCTGACACCTGTCCCTTCACCGAAGTACCTAGATAGGTCATATCAAAAAACTATTTCGAACGATGATACCTAATAATCAAGATAACCCACTTCACAAAATTATTTGTTGTGTCTGAAATATACAGATAAGATACCCTTATCAATGTTTGATTTGACCGATTGTATTGCGGTTAACTGGTTTAATTTGAACCTCTGCGCCCCTTTTAAGAGGTAAATAACTGACTTAAATAATTCATTTTTGCGAATATAAGTGTGTAGCAGGGTCTGGTCTAAAGGTTTGACACGCAGTTATGATACAATCCCTGATTTCTGGCTTCAGTGAATTTCTTTATTCTTTAGGTTTATATAGTCTATCCTACAGAAGACATCAAATGAGTCCATCTGTCTTGATTATAAAAAGCATGCACCCCTGCCCAAATGGCAATCAACTCAAAAAAAGTTTTAGCCCTTTCGTAGAAGGTACATGTACATAAAGTTTTAGACATAATTTAAAATTTCTTTCATTTAATTTTTGTATTTCGCCTGGGATTTTGTTATAACATTTAACACAGAATCCCATGAACGACTTGTGTACCTTTGTCAATCTAAATAATGGCTGACATAATCTATCTCTATGTCTAGTTTGATAATTATGTCTATCTGACAACTTATCGAATATTTTTAAGTTTTTCCTAACATTCATAATCTATATATATAAAAGAAAGTCGTGTTAGTTACACCACTTATAACTCAAGAACGGCTGAACCGATTTAGCTGAAAATTGGCAGGGAGGTAGTTTAGAGACGGGAGAAGGACATAGGATAGGATAGAGTAGGTAGAGTAGGGTAGGTAGAGTAGGGTAGGTAGAGTTGGGTAGGTAGAGTAGGGTAGGTAGAGTAGGCTAGGTAGAATAGGGTAGGTAGAGTAGGGTAGGTAGAGTAGGGTAGGTAGACTAGGGTAGGTAGAGTAGGGTAGGTAGAGTAGGGTAGGTAGAGTAGGGTAGGTAGAGTAGGGTAGGTAGAGTAGGTAGGGTAAGTAGTCAAATGACGGGAGCGACGCCGCGGGTAAGAGCTAGTGTTTTCATAAATAAACTGACATGGCACGGTCATAATATTGATCTCTTTAAACTTTTCTCTAAGAGACTCACGACGCTTTAGGTTGTAAATAGCTCTGATGGCACGCTTTATCTAGACAAAGATATACTCAACGTCAGCAGCCTGTCCCCACAACAAGATGCCATACGACATAATGCTATGAAAGTAGCTGAAGTACACCAGTCTTGCAGTGTCCACATCTGTTAGCTGTCGGATCTTCCAGACAGCAAATGCTGCAGAGCTCAACCGTCCTGCCAGAGATGTGATATGGGGCCCCCATTGTAGTTTGTTATCTATGGTTATACCCAGAAAAGTAGTTTGTTTTACAAATTCCAATTTCTCGCCGTTTAATAATATGTCACATTCGTTACTTTTAACATTTGGCAAACTGAATCGTATACACTTTGTCTTTTTGTCGTTTAGGACTAAATTAACTGTAACCAATTATGAACCTTCGTAATAGCATTATTTACGTCGTCATAATTATCTGTCCGTCTATTTATTTTAAAAATCAATGATGTGTCATCAGCATATAATACCATTCCCGGTTCACGTTGAAATAAATGAGGTAAGTCATTCATGTACACTATAAACAGGAAAGGACCTAATATCGAGCCCTGATTTTATGATATTAGTATAGATATATATAGTATAGATGATATGATGATGTGGAAGTACCTGTGAGACAGTCCGCAGTGAGTCTCCGAGTGCTGAGCGTAGTCTCTGCACGTCTCTGGCAGCGCGACCGCTGCGTGCGATGTACGCCTGGCGGCGACGGATCTCTGCTGTCAGCTGGGAGCGGAGCTGAGACGCCTGTAGCAAGAGAAGCCAGTTATAATATTCACTTATACTAGGACTATTATCTAGTAAGTTAGGAAACACATGATTTCATATGAAAAATAAACTTATATAATATTTTTATTGATAGCCAATGATTATAGTTCCCTTTAAACTTGCAATATGAAGAACCATAGGTGCACTAACGCCGGTGTTCGGTTGAGGTTTGATGAACTAAATCATTATAAATTTGTCCCTTCTAGAAATATTGAAGTTAGTAGGTAGATTAGTTTTCTACTCCCACTTTCTCCAGGCCCCATCCTTCCCTTCCCCCATCTCTCCCAAATCCCTAATCCCTAAATGGCAAAAACTCTTTTCAATTCTTAAGGGTCATATGGCAAGTTATCTAAATAATGGCTTGAGAGCAAGGCAGAGCTTTCAGAATGACTTCCATGCGAGATCTTACATACCTACAAAAATCATCTAGATTTTATCCAAGGCAACTATGTTTCTGTGTCCGATCAGATTATGTATGTATATATATGTGATTTATTCTTTTTATCTAATATTGTTATGTCTGGCCCATTTTATTATTATTTTGAGGCTAATTTCTTTTTCGGATTCTTTGTAAAACACTTTTTTTTAGTGTTACACTGTTTTTACACAATTCAGAACCTACTAAATGGTGTAACAGAGAAATGAATTGTAAAACTAATTGAAAAAGAGTAACCAAAGAGTTTCTTGCTCTCCCTTCTCCATAGGAATCTACACTTTGGAACAAGCAAATAGCTTCACTATAGGACAGACGGACAGACTGACACGCATAAAGTTAAACCTATTGATTTTTTTATTTTGCTTGACTTTCAAAAGTGCCTGCTGTGGTCTATTTGAAATAAATGACTTTATAGCAAAGTACCTGTGTTTCGAGCCTCATGATCTGCTGCCTGTACGAGGCCTCCTTGCTCTCAAGCAGTCGCTCGGCCTGCAGCGCGGCCTGCCGGTAGTGCTCCACGTCGCTGCGCCGCGACGGCGACATGCTGGACAAGTCCGTCAGGTACCGAGTACGAGCCATTGCTAGTTCAGCCTCCTGTTACAACCAAAATTGTAAAAAAGTATTATTTACACCACACCGGCTGCTGTGCAACCTATCGTGGATTCGGACGGAACATCTCTTTTTGCGATCCATTATTTTTTGTTTCAGGTCTAGGTGTGATTTGCATGCGATTTTTTCTCAATTCTAAATGTAGCCATAAAGGAGAAAATTCATTTGGGTAGTTTCCATGGTAAAAATAAATTAATTTGACGTTACAATACAATAAAATGTTGTCAAAAAACTACGCTAAAATACTATGAGGTCATAATTTCGAGTTTCATACAAATTTTATAGAAAGTATAGTTTTACATATTTTGATAAAAGTATTTAAAGATAGTTAGCAAACTACCGTATTAATCTTCTGGTGTTGTGGTTGTCCGTCGGGCGGCGATGATTGCTTACCAACAGGTTGTTTGGCAGCTACTAATAGTTTTTACACTTACTTTATCTGCCAATTCCTTCTCTAGGCGTCGGATCTTCATCCTGAGCTCCCTGTTCTCCAGCTCAATGAGGCTAAGGTCAGTTGTAAAGCCCTTGTCTTTACAAGGAATGTTGCATGAGTCCTTGTAACCACGCGTTGAGGAGTCTTTTGTTGAGTCTGGGCCTGAGAAAGAGATGTACACAATAAATACTTGTAATAATAATAACTGTTGCATACACACGTATTACTATGTTTTTTTGAGTGGAGAAATAGTCAAATGATTTCTCCCGTCCTGGTTGGGGCGACAGGGTGGGACGACTAAAAACTACGGAGTTCCTTCTCCGGTACTGTAGGTACATTATTGCGAGACTATCAAGAGAGGCAAAAATCATCAATTCACCTTTCCCGCCCCGGGTCGAGGGCAAGGGAGTGTCAGACTCTGACCTGACTAAGTTCCTGTTCCTGCTTTGGGCCGTCATTGTGCCTGCAAACCCGGCTGGATATCTAACGGATTGAATGATCTCAATCTATCAAAATCCGTTGCGTAGTTTTAAAGAGTTTAGCGTACATACGGATATAGGAGCAGATAAAGCGACTTTGTTTTATACTATGTAATGAAGTCTAGCAGTGCTTTTTAATCAAGTAAAATTTTACTACAACTTACCAGAATCCAAATCGGAGTAGTAGACACTCTTCTCAGTCCTATCATGGCTCTTACTCCTGAGCGCCGGCCTGGCCATGCGTCGTTCAGCCTCCAGTTTGCGCACTGTGTCCTGTAGGACTTCGCACTTGGACTTAAGTTCGGCGCGGTCCCGTTGTAGTTGGTGTAACTCCCTCTCTATTTCACTGTCACTGTTGCTTTCTTTGCCGTCCCATGTTGTCATGCGAAGTTGGGATTCGAAGGCCGACCTTGGAGATAAAAGTTGCTAGGTTAAGCGTGGAATATAATTAAACCGACGATGATTTATAACATATCTTTATATATAAAAATTTCGTGTCACGTGTTTGTCCGCGATGGACTCCTAAACTACTAAACCGATTTTAAATTTGATTTGCATTCTGTGTGCATTTTGATCCAACTTGAAAGATATATAAGGATAGCTTACATCTCAATTTATAGTCACAATATTATTTTATTGCAAATTATTTGTCCATAAGTAATGATATAAGTAATGATAACAATGCTCTGAAATAAAAAACATCAGGTGAAGGAGATGTACGTAGTAATTTGTTTTTTTTTTTTATTCTGGATTCATCCCAACCTGTGTAAGCCTTATTACATAAGACCTAATAATTTGAAGAACAAGGCCTCAAACTGAAGCTGTTTTGTCTGTTTAGGAAATCAGCGCAACCTGGTAGGCATTTTAAGAAACATAAAGTTTTAAATTTTCAGTTTCTTTAAACATCACCGTACTAGCTACAAAATCTTTGCGTCCAGAAGCAAGCATTCTTTTCAATACATGAAACGGAGTCAAAACTTATTATATAGCTTAATCAATAAAGACAAAGAGGTCGTCGATTCATGAAACATACCTCTGCACCTCAAGGTTGGCGAGCTGGTTAGTGAGTCTGTGCACCTGGTCCTCTAATGAGGAATTCATCCTCTTCATCTCTCCGAGTGCCGCCTTAGCACTCTCCAGTTTCTCCGTCAGTACTCGACGTTCATTCTCACAGCTCGCTGGATAGAAGATAGAATTGTTATAGTGACAGTAAGAACTATGAGTAAAAGGTAAGGTAAGGGTAGGATACTAGTCTTATAACGTAGTATGTACTTGAAACACAAACAAAATGTTCGAAACTAGCTGACTCAAGGATTTCTAAAGGAAAAGTAGTTTCTTACTCGTATCAACTCCACATATTGGAAAGTGGACAAACTAACTATTCTTATTTTTTTTTTATGTAATAGGTCGGCAAACGAGCAGACGGATTACCTGATGGTAAGCAATCAGCGCCGCCCATGGACACCCGTAACGGAGGAGTTACGAGTGCGTTGCCGACCTTTTAGGGATTAGGGATTTGGAGATTTAGGGATTGGGAAGGGGAAGGATTGGGCTTCCGGTAACCTCACTCACACGGCGAAACACAACACTGTGGTTGTTTCACGCCGATTTTCTGTGAGGCCGTGGGATCACTCCGGTCGAGCCGACCCATTCGTGCCGAAGCATGGCTCTCCCACACTTAGAATCTAATGAATGCTTTGAATTCATTTATTTCCAAATAAACTATTTATTTGAAGAGTAACTTAAGAATCATTAACATAGAATAGTTAGTTAGTCCGTCATTGAAGTTCGGTGCTCTTTTCAAAACATAGATTCGATAAATGCGATAGATTCCTAAAAATCCCCAATCGGCTTATCTTAAGGAATCCAATGCTCAAAACAATGAAACGTACGTTCCATAGTTTTGTAGCTTTTATCATGTTGGGGGCATTAATTGTTATACAAAATCAACTCACTCAAGATAATACTAACTTTGAAACTTTCGTGTTTCATTTCTACAGCATATAATTACGCAGGTATTATAACACGAAAAAAATTAGGTAGGCTTGACGCAGGTCGAAACGTCAAGCCAAAGTAGGCTTACTACTTAAGTAAGCCAAGTAATTACTCAAGGTAAAATTAAACTGAAGTAGAAAATCATTTCTTATTTTTACTCAAACTTACTTAGTATGGAGAAGAAAAGCAAAACAAAAACTTACACACACTCTTCTGTATCTGCCTTAGCTTATCAACAGCATTATGTTCATTGTTCTTAGCTTCATTAAGTTGCCTTGTGACTTTGCCGAGCTCTGACCGTAACTCCGCCTCGGCTGCAGCGGCCTTCTGCAGCGCAGTGGACAGTTGTTCCACGGTGCCCTTGAGGGACGTACAGCGGTCTTCTAACTGCGCTATAGTGCGCGTGTAGCCTTCGCATCGCTCTTGTAATTTCTGAAATGTTTTTTTTTTTATTATTATTTTATAATCATTGTCCCACACTAGGATTTTCTCCTGTGTCGTGGATGCGTTTACAACAAACATACAATTCTACATACACATTACAACTAGACCCGGAGCACCAATTTTTGGATTACACAAAGAGTTGTATCGTTAAGGAATCGAAACCGTGACACGAGGATGCGCGGCAGCTAGTTGCCCAGTTACCGCGTCAACCGTGCAGTCAATGTATCTTATTTCATGTGCTTCAATAGACAGCAAGAAAAAATAACATATCATAAAGAACGGATCTGTTGTACATTCTAACACCATAACTACCATAAATATTGTACTTTAATATTATTCTACTTTAATTTTCTCCTTTTTTCAATAAAGAAATATATTTAATTATTTGTATTATCATCAACTTGACTTGATAATATCCTATTTTGAGGACTTTAAGAAGTGCTAAGACAGAATTCAAATATAATTTCGGATATGATATGTTTAGAATAGTGCTAATTAATTAATTAAATTTTCTTACTATGAAAACTTCGGTCAGCTACTTATTTAAGGCGTTATTTTATTCATATTTCAACAACGAATGTTACGTTGATTTTATTGTTTTGTTTAACAATTGAAAATGATCATTTTTATGAAATAAAAATATATTATTATTATTATTATACCTTGAGTGCTTGATCTCTGTCTCTAGCCGCAACGGCAGCTCTTTGTACGTCGCCCTCTAACTGAGCGCGTCGGACATCTAGGCGGGCCGCACGACCTGGAAGGGAACCATTGCTTAACTTTATTTACCTTATATTTTATGAGCATTACGGATTAGGATTATTCGATTTTATGAGCATAACAGTTTTGTAATGAAATGTTAATATAAAAAGAACGCAATAATGCTTTACAATCTGATATCATGTACCTAATAGCTTTTTTTTAAATCGTGATGCATACAATTTATTTTGATTATAATGACTCATGAATAAGAGTTAAGTTGTGATTTGAAATAAGAGGGCCTTTTCTCAGTTAATCGACGTTTGCAATAAATATCATGTACTCTTAAAAACATTATCACGTACCCTCAGCCGCTGCGAGCGCTTCACGCAGTTGTCCGACTTCCTGGACGCGTTCCGCCAACTGCACTCGAAGATTGTCTCCTTTGTTCTACAAGCAGAACCTCGTATTAAAATTTACTATCGATTAACAAATGTTTACCACAAAATTTAGAAAAATAATAACAATTTGGATCAAGTTAATTGATTCATATTCATTTTTCTATAGCATAATTTGCAAACTGGGCTTTCGGTATAAGTAGGTTTTGATTTATACCTACTTATTCTGAAATGTCAAAAATTACAGATTTATTTGAATTTTGTACAAAAAAAACAAGATATTGTGATGTTATTATTGGTTTAACGACAAATAGCATACTTATTACACTTGAATTGTCTAAAACCACACCAATATTAAATACATCTTAAAATTAACTAATGCACGTGTGAATAGGATATTTTTAAATATTTTTATGGTTTATACAATCATAAAAGTGAGTTGAAGTAATTTCTTTTTGACCCAGGGAACTACGCAATTATGTATGGTACCCGTAATATGGTAACATTTTTTTTATATCTCTTACCTCATTCTGTACTTTTTCTTCAGTGACTGATGACAACGCTGCCTCTAGACTTGTGATCTTGTCTCGTAAGTTGCTAATTTCTAAGGTCTTACCCTGTACAGATTCATTCTGAAAGAAACAATGTAACTTTAATATATTATCGCTTTCAATTGGGTGCTACACATCTAGTCACATTTGATACGTTTTATTGATAATTTTCTATGATATTTTTACGGGTTAGTTTTTTTTATGGGATAGTTGGGCAAACGAACTGACGGATTACCTGATGGTAAGCTATCGGCGGCAACCATGGACACTTGCAACACCAAAGAAGTAAATACAAATGTGTTGCCGGCCTTTGGGCTAGGATTTTTTGGGATTTAAAGATAGTACCATGGACACTTGCAACACCAAAGAAGTAAATACAAATGTGTTGCCGGCCTTTGGGCTAGGATTTTTTGGGATTTAAAGATAGTACCATGGACACTTGCAACACCAAAGAAATAAATACAAATGTGTTGCCGGCCTTTGGGCTAGGATTTTTGGGATTTAAAGATAGTACCATGGACACTTGCAACACCAAAGAAGTAAATACAAATGTGTTGCCGGCCTTTGGGCTAGGATTTTTTGGGATTTAAAGATAGTACCATGGACACTTGCAACACCAAAGAAATAAATACAAATGTGTTGCCGGCCTTTGGGCTAGGATTTTTTGGGATTTAAAGATAGTACCATGGACACTTGCAACACCAAAGAAGTAAATACAAATGTGTTGCCGGCCTTTGGGCTAGGATTTTTTGGGATTTAAAGATAGTACCATGGACACTTGCAACACCAAAGAAATAAATACAAATGTGTTGCCGGCCTTTGGGCTAGGATTTTTTGGGATTTAAAGATAGTATCTGAAGATTCCGGATGGGCGATAGGAATTGGGCCTCCGGTAACCTCATACAACGTAAGTGTTGTTTCACGCAGGTATTCTGTAAGGCCGTGGTATCACTCGGGTGGGGTCACTTTTCATCTGTCGTGTCGTGTCGTGTCGTATTAATTGTATGAAACCGGGGGTGTGTTAGGACGATACGATACGCCACGACACTTTGAAGTATTTTCACCTTAAGCGAATGACGTATTACAGCAAATTTATGTCTTTTGTAGGAAAAATGACTAAAGCTGGGTTTAGAAGAAGTCAAAAGCAATAACTCACGAGTGCATTAATCTGTGCCTCCTTCTGTCCGTATGCAGTCTGCAGGCGCGCCTTCTCCTCCTGCAGCGAGCGCAGGTTGGTGGTGACGGCCTGCAGCTTGTTGTCGCCCTTGCCTTGTTGCTCGCTCGCGTCCTTCAGTTGCTTCTTCAACATGCTCACTTGCGACTTGTAGTCGTCCTGCAATATTATTTATTTATTATATGTATATAAAAGTGGATCGCAAAATGTGTTGGTAAGCGCATAACTCAATAACGCCAGGACCAATTTTTCCGATTCCTTTTTTTATTATGTTCATTATTGTTAGGAGAAGGTTCTTACAACAGAATAGTTTATAAAAGGGGAATATCGGGAATTAACAACCCTTTCAGTGCTGAGGCCGTACACTTGTTAAACAAATTACTGATACCGGACACCCGTGCGAAGCAGGGGCAGTCCGCTAATTTGTTATAATAATGAGTTAAGACAAATGTTGATAACTGGCAGACACAGTTTAAGCATAAGTCCTCTTAAATTGTGCTCATTTATTACGTAAAAGAAAATACCCATTAGAATTAGAACATGGCCATAACTAAGTAATTAAATTCAAGTCCTCCGAAATGGAATTGTGTATAAAATAAAAGTATAAATAAATAAATTGTACTGTATTTTGGTTATAAAATTCAATATGTCGTTGTAGCTGAAAAAGTTACATTTTTTAAATTGCTGTTTGTATTTTGATTTTAGTACAAACTCAGCAATTTATAGATTTATTTGCGAACTGGCTAGATTTTATTTTCGACAAGATAAAAATAGTGTGATATTCGGAACTGTAGTCTATTAAAGTGGTATGCACACAAATTTATATTCGATGAGACTCTACCTTTTCTCTCTCGATCTGGCAAACATCATGCATCAGGTTACGCATTCCTTTCTTGATGAGCTCGGGATCTACATCTATGATCTCGTTGCGATCCTCCGAGTGATCTCGGCCTGAAAACAATCAAGATATTGTTTAATACTAAGATAAAAGATGTATGTAAGGTAACCTAGTTATATCACAATCTATAATAGACTATTGTGTTTACATATAAAAATGCCAATTACCATTTGATTTGTGTATTACCTCTTTGGAAGGTTCTTATTATCTTTTCAGTAAAAGATTTAGGCAAGAAGGAACGCACTTGTGGCTTATCTTTAGTTGCGAGTGTTCCGCGAGTGTCACACGGCGAATCACAACGTTGTGGTTGTTTCACGTCGGTTTTTTGTGAGGCCGTGGTATAACTCCTGTCGAGCCGACCCATTCATGCCGAAGCTTGAGCACCATACATGAGCTCTCCCAACGTGGTCTTGATAGCACATAAAATAGTCAAACTAGCACATTTCAATGGGTCGGCTCCACTGGAATGATACCACGGCCTCACAGAAAACTAGCGTGAAAAACGAAAGCGTTGTGTTTCGCCGTGTGAGTGAGGTTACAAGAGGCCCAATCTTTTCCCTTCCCCAATCCCTAAATTTCCAAATCCGCAGTTGTAGCGGGTGTCCATGGGCGGCGCTGATTGCTTACCATCAGGTAATCCGTCTGCCCATTACAATAAAAAAGTATTGATGTAGCACGTACCTCTATGCGGGCTGTACCGTCGCGCGGGGCTGGCGAGTCGCTTCCTGGTGGCGGCGTGCACGGACCCGTCAGGCTGCACCCCGCAGACGCGGCGCAGGCCGTGCGCTATGGACGACAACTTGGCCTCCGCCTCGCGCTTGCCACTCTCACACTGGGACAGAGATGCTTCTAGGGCGCGGCAACGACCCTCACTGCCGCCTAGACGAGCCTGTGGATGTGAATATGTAATACAAATATTTCATTGTTTTGGCAATAGTTCAAATTCAATGCTATTGGTCGTAATACTTTTATAGAGATTTCAAACACGACACTTACTCTGAAAGTGAAAAGTAGTTTTCTTTTTAAATATTAAAAAAATATTTTTGGGCCTGCCAGATCCTTTCTTTTGCAAATGTTAATAAAAGTTAAGAACTGACAACTTATATTTTTTTCTTTCAGTTAAGTCTTAAGGTTCAGCAAAATTGTTTCTTGATTTATTGTCACATCGCCGTAAACATAATAAATCAATAAGAAATAAGTAATTTACAAAACCATGGAATAAAAAAGGTCGATTCCTGAATTAATTTAAGAGCTACCGTGTTAAATGTAACTCAATTTAATTTAAACATAATTCGTATTATAAAATTAGTTAATTAATTATTAATTATTACATTTATATGACAGACGATTTGCGATCGTAAGACTACGTCAGAGGATAATATGAACTAGACTACATTTCCTGTAAAAAAATGACCAGAGATTACAATTTCATCATATAAAAATAATGGCTGTATCACATTACCTTAAGTTCCTGTATCTGTTGCGTGGCGTCAGCGAGGCAAACCTCCAGGTTATGTTTAAGTTCCTCCAGGCGACGTTCCTTCGACCTACAGTCCTCCAGACGAAGTACCAACTCCTGAACACATAGAAGAAGACAATAGATTAGGATGGACATGAAAGAAGAAAGAGTATTCTATGTTAACGTTACATAGAAAAGGATGAAAAAGAGAAAAAATAAAGAAGAATTCATCGACTTTAAGTAATTTGATATAAGGCCTATCTAATCTCTTAGTAATTTTATAAAACTGTTTCAATTATACGCAAAACTAATTTGTTTAAGAATTTCTAAAAAGTTTAGTGTTTACTGCACGTCTCTGAACATTAAACAACAAGCACGGTGGCGTCTAATTGGAGAAGCCTATGTGTAGCAGTGGACGGAATCAGGTTGATGGCGATGTTTTTCACAAAGTATAACGTATCTGTTTATTGTGCAGTATGTACCTGGTCCCTGGCGCGGCAGGCCTCCTCCAGGTCGGCGGCGCGCTGCCTGCAGGCCTGCAGGTCGGCGCGCGCGGCCGCCAGCAGCGCCTCCAGCTCGGCGCCGTGCCGCCGCGCCGCCGCCGCGTCGCCCGCGCAACGTTCCCGTTCCTCGCATTCATTCTGCAGTCTAATAACCACAAAACAAACTTCAGTAAAATACTTGTGCTGTAAATATCTTTTTTGATAATTAAAATAAAATAGAATTCGAGGAGTAAATAGTATGTATTTATTCGAGGAGTAAAAGAATTTTCGAATATCAATCAACCCCTTGTAATTTATTCCTCGTTTTAACATTACCAATTTGAAAGTCTAATAATATAAAAATGAATCGCGAAATGTGTTGGTAACCGCATAACTCAATAACGCCTTAATCAATTTTGCCAATTCTTTTTTTGTCATTTTCGTTATTGTTAAGAGTAGGTTCTTACGAAAGATAAATTCAGAAAAGTAAAGGGGAATAGCGGGTATCAACAACCACAACAACCCTTTCGGAGCCGTGGAAGATACCCGTGCAGAGCAGGGATGGTCTGTTAGTACTTTAATAAATTTAAATTATACTACAGAAAATTACATAGCTAGACCTTCGCTACGTGGTGTGTCGAATAATACGGTTACGAGCCTCTAGCGTAACTCAAGCGATGATCTCCGGCCACTTAAAGAATTGAGCATGCAAAAAAGGGGAATTGGCCGCCCGACAAAATTCAGTCCCGAGCGTACGGCGCGTAGCATTTCGCGCGCACCTCAAACACACAATAGAGCACCACAGACGGGGCCCTATAGGGCTGATGTTCAGCCGGGGCAAGCACAATAAAGCACCGCAGCCTCGAGAGAGGTCGAGAGAAGTCATTTAATGATTCACACCCCTCACAAAAAAAAGCGTACCTTAAAACTAATCTACTTGGGCAGTTTCCTAGGTCAAAAATAAATTAATTCGACGTTTCTATACAATAAAATATTGAAAAATAATTAAACTTCCATTCATCGATCGATCGATACATAAAATTTTTGATAATTTTGAATTATTTTTTAAGAAATAAGTAAGCTTTTTGACTTCAAAATACTATGACGTCATAAGTATTTCATACACATTTCATAGAAAAGTGTCGTTTTTGACATTTGGATAAAAGTATTGAATTTGACTAGTTAAAAACTACCGTATTTTCTCGTCATACATACATTATCACACATAGATAAGCCATATGTAATTAATTTAATGTCTTACAAGAGTCATTGATAGAGAAGAACAAAATAAATGTGACTTAGATTTTCCGTGTAATGAAATGAACAGAAATATTAGGCGACCAAATGAGTAGAAAATTAGACTAATGCACCAACCAAATACAAAAAAAAATTCTACAAACCTAGACTGCAACTCCTTGATGTCATGGTTGGCTTGTTCCAAGGCAGCTCGTTCCCTCTTCAGTTGGTTTTCAGTGGCCTTCAGCTCGCGAGTGACGTGTTCTCCTCCCGTCTCACTCTCTTTCAACATTGTCTGTACGCGGGACAACTCTAGATCGAGAGTCGTGCGGTTCTCTTCCAAGCCTAAACATAAATTATACATTCACATACTAATTATATAGACTGCACGGTTCGCGCATTGGCTGGGCAACTGTCTGCTGTCCAACGTGTCGCGGTTTCGATTCTCGCAAGGAACAACACACAACAGAGAAAATCTAGATGATAAAAAGGTAGTCTGATTAACAAATTACAAAATGATGTAATTACCCAATTGATATATACCTAATTATAATTAAAAATAAACTTATTTATACCTTCTTTTGCTGTGCCCTATCAGGCTCCATAATATGCTATTTGTAACATTTTTATAACATTATGGTATGCAAAAAATATTACTATTACTATTGCGTTTTTAAACCCGAAACAAATATGTTTAGGTAGTTCGACAGGATATAAATGAACAGTGACGGTTTTTCTATTTTCTATTTTGACTATAAACACAATTAAAATTTACCTGCAATCTTATGATAAGCGTCGTCCCTAGCCCGCGCGGCCTCCCTGCGTTCGTGCTCTGCGCGCTTGACATGGTCGCGGAGCTCGCGACAGCTACTGTTGTACTTGTCGCGCTCCGCCGTGCAGTTAGTCAGCTGGCGCCGGACATCTGTCAGCTCCTTGCGGAGACTGTCCGCTTCATTCTCCACTATAAATAGATAAACGTATATATGTAACCTTTTAAAATACTCAAATGTGGCAGGGCCATGCTAAGTAGCATGCTTGCTTATAAATGGGTCAGCTCGACCAGAGTAATACACGGCCTCACAGAAAACCAGCGTCAAAGAACCGGTTGTTTTTCGCCGTGTGGGTGAGGCTACCGGAGGCCCAATCCCGCCCCCTCTTCTATCCCTCCCTAATCCTTAGAGATACACAACTCTTATCCCGTTCGCTAATCCCGTAATCCGTCCGCTCGTTTGTAAACCTATGACATAAAAAAAACTAGGGCGATTTGTCCAAATGGCATTCATTTGCACACTTTAGTAATAATTCCTCAACAACTGCAGCAGTTTTAAAAAGTTATATTTTATAAATCAAAACGCACTTAAGTTACTTTCGGTCAAGGACGTTCTTCTCAAGTTAAGTAATTTTACATTCAATTCATTTTGGAATTTGGTATTTTACATTTGTCGTATTTTACACTGGCATTTTATGTTGAAGTAAGTTTAAAACATTAGAAGACTTACATTCCTTCAATTTCCTCATTGTATCTTGCAGCTGCGCGTACGCATTGTCATACTTGTCCTCTGCGAGTGACAGTTGTGCGCGGATCTCGGTACACTCCCGCATGACGGCCTCCTTCTCCAGATGTAGCTCCTTGATGCGGTTCTCGTAACGGGCGCACTCGTCTTCTGCTGATGCCCTGGAAGTAAATAAAAATACTTTTTACCTGACTAGAAAATGGAGACTAAAGACGACATCTTGTATTAAATTTTGTCTTGTGTTAAATATTTACCCCGTTATTACAAAATAAGATTTGTCTTAAGTCCAGGTATCTTATTGTCATCTATCTTCAATTCGAAATACAAAAACTGGCTCAATGGTTTAGACTTAGACTAAAGTAAAACCTTGTTTTGTAATAAGGCCGTTAGAGTTTATTCCGCGACACACCTTTTTCGCCTTTTAATTTGTCGCGGAATAAACACAATATTTTTCGTAACATTTAATGTCATGGATTTCCGCAAAGTTACGCCTGATTCTATAAAAGACATCGTGTATGTTGGATCAGATGAAAAACTTGTCAACCGGCTAAGAAATAACGCGTGTTAAGTTCATAAGTTTCGCGCGTTCACTTTCACACTTTCGCTCACAGTTCCCCGTTCGTTGTCGGTTTTTTCGCAGTTTTTCGCAGTATCTGAGAAGACGCTGTTGGAAGTGGTTGTGCATTATTGCGTACTTAGTAAAAATACATTGCTATTTATAATAACCAAGTAGCACAGAGCGTCAATGCAGCAGCGACAATCGAACGAGACTGCGGGGCTTCGCGAGAGTGAGAGACACATTTAACCGCGAAGTTCATGGCGCGAAGCTCGGCATGAACTTCGCGAGCGATTATAGAGCGCGCTTTAGAGGATTTTTTCTACAAAAAAAATGGATAGATAATGTCTACTCACTTGGCCTCCTCCAGCCGGGTCTTGAGTGCAGCCATCTCGTCTTTAAGCTGGTTGACGTACGTCCGGTCCTGCTCAGCGCGCGCATGCGCGTCGCGTCGCACGCGCTCGAGCTTGTTCTGTTCGCAGTCAAACGCGCGCTTGGCTTCCTCCAGGCGCTCCAGTAACGCTTGCTGCTCTTGGTGAGCTGAGGATAGATAGGTTTTTTTATTTTAAACTGTACAATATAGATTAAACTATAATCAAATCGATAAAGAATTTAAATTACATAATTAGCCAAGTGAACATAAAGTTTTAGTGTTGAAAAGTATTCCTTGATTTTTAATTAAGTATATACAAAAATAAATTGATAAATAATCTGATGTCGCTAGTTTAAATACTAAACATCTGACTGACATAAACAGCAACAAAACATTTTTTATGGCATAGTTAAGTATTCGAGGTTATCACCTGATGTTAAGCAATCACCCATGTACACTCGTAATACCAAAGAAGTTACTACGAGTTCTTCGCCACCCTCTTGTGGGCCCGAAGAAATATTCCAAAATGCAGTACATCGTCAAATCAATGAATGATATACGATTATTTTCCATACTATTGCATTGCAAATATTTAATTGTGGGAGAGCCATGTTTTGGCACAAATGAATGGCCCAGATCGATTGGAGTGATACCACGGCCTCACAGAAAACCGGCGTGAAACAACCACATTGTTGTGTTTCGCCGTGTGAGTGCGGATACCGGTAATCCTTCCCCTTTCCCATACCTTTCCTTTCAAATCTCAAAAACCTTAATTCCCAAAAGTCCGGCAACGCACTCATAATTACTCTGGTTTCAAAAGGCGGCACTGGTTACATTGCGTTTACTGCTCCATTACGTTAACAAAATTACGTTTAAAAAGAGGTTGCAACTAAGTCAAGACATTAGCAAAGAGTTCTCTGGTAAAATTTTATTTTAAATACAAATTCACAACTCACCCATCAACAACGCCTGTTGCTTGTCATTCTCAGCTCTCAGCATGGCTTCATCGTGCTGCAGTATAAGCTGGTCCCTCGCTATCAGTAGCTTCTTCTCTCTCTCGCGCGCGCTAGCCTCGCATGATTCTTTCTCGCTCGTTAAAGCTGCTATAGTCTGACTTAGCTTGTGTTCTAAGGTTTGACGAAGTTGTTCCTGTAAAAAATAGGTAGGATGTGAAAATGCCTGTTTAATACTCTTAAGCCTTGCCACGCTATTTTTTGTTTTGTAAATGTTTATATTTTTACGCCGGAGCATTTTTGCTGTGTTTTTCAATTAATTAAGAAATTATACACATTTTTTATAATTAATTTATATAATATAATAATATAATTTGTGCGCACGTTTTGATTGCTTAGGTTTGTTATCATTATATATATATTTTATCTTAGATTAAGAGGCAAACGAGCAGCCTGTACACACCAGGAGTCACGAGCGCGTTGCCAGCCTTTAAAAGGGGTATGCACGTTTCTTGAAGGTTTGAAGGTCGTATCGGTTCAGCAATACAACCCCCGAAAAATCATTCCAAAGTTTTGCTGTGCAAGGCAAAAAGTGTCTATGATGGGATATCTATATTATTGGTAGAAAATGTTTCACGTAGATCGATGGCGAAAATGTACGAAAAGGTGATAATTCTTAGTTTGTACCTTCTCCTCCTTAAGCTTGGTGATGTTCTCAGCGGTGGTGCGGTTGATGTTGGTAATGATCTGCTGGTACTCCGCCTCCTTCTTGCCCGACGCCTGCGACATCGAGTTGCGAGTGTCGCGCAGTTTGCGCTCGCTGTTTTCCAAGTCTTTAGTTAGACGGGCTATTTGACCTGAAAGTGAAATATTACAATTAAAGCAAGTAAAGTACAAGTGTGCGAGAGAGATGGTTCGGCACGTATGCGCAATAGCACAGTCTTACAGAAAACCGTCGTGAAACTGTTGTATCTTTATTTTTGTGTGCGAGAGGTTACCGAAGGCACAATACCTCCAATAATCCTCAATAACCCTTATTCCTTAAACCCTCGCAACGAATTTGCAACGACTTTAGTGTTGTAAGTGTCGATTGTTTAACATCAGGTAAACCGTCTGATAGTTTACCTTCGTACTACGTAGGAAAATTTGTTGGTGTACGCTGCGTACGCACATTCCACTTTTCCACTTCGATGATAGCACGAAATCAAGTCATGCCGTAAAGAGAGGTTTAAAAAGCTTAATTCGCTTTTCAATATGTGGTATATTCGAACGAACAGTAAAAATGTTGTTTATACAAGATTTATACATTATAATTTATATATTTATTTATAGTGTCTTTGTTTTGTGTTCCGAACCGAAGGATTCTACTCGTCTTCATTATTTGTTAAAATAATCTTCGCATTAACCAATGCTATTTCTTGTGTTGCTTTATCACTTTCTAATGATATAAAGTACACACAACTCAACACAATTAGTTTCAACTTTCAAGGTCGTACCGTGCCCAAACTTTAGACCATAAAATTAATTGTTCATAGAGATATTCTAATTTATACTTGTTATTACCCTTATAATTCTCTTGCTGTACGAGTGTCTCCTGCAGCTCGTGTTCGAGCTTGTTCCTCTTGTTGTCAGTGTCCTCGAGCAGGTTGGCAGTATCGAAGAGTACGGCCTCCAGCGCGTCCTTCTCTGAGCGTACTCCCGCCAGCTGTTCCTGTAGGTGCTGCTTGTCCTTCTCCAGAGAGTCGATTAGGATCTAAACATGACAAATAATCATAAATTTATAACAGGTTGCAAAAGGAGGTCCGTATGCCTGAGAACATCCTACTAATATTATAAATCCTACTATCCTACTTATTATTATAAATCGTACTTCCTACTATCACACTATTATAATAAATATGAGTTTGTGAGAATTATATATAGATGTATGTTTACTATTATTTCACACAAAAACGGCTGAACTCATTTGGTTGGGCATGTAATAGGCGATGATACCCTGGATTAACTTTCGATCAACCTTCAAAGGAATTATATTAACACAGGTTTTTTATTAACATACAACGTGCACGGAAGCTGTAATAATGATATGTCGAATTTTGAGATATGTTGTAAGCAATGCACTAATTTTAGCGCCAAAATTAGATGCGGATGAATCGCTTATTTTTTACAAAAGCCAAAGCTTTTGATTGTTACTAATAAATTAAATTTGTTACGTTTAAAACTATTTTTGTTTTCCACAAATTGCCTCTCTCTCTAAATTACAAAATATGTGAAATCCGTATTAAAAAAAAAACAAAGTATTTTTCTCTTACCTGTTTATCCTCCCCATCTTTAACATGGTCTTCCAAAGCTCTATTGATTCTCCCGATAGTCTCATTTGCCTGTTCTAGTCGTTGTTGCAGGCGTATAATCTCTTCGTTAAGGGTATCCTTCTTGCGAACCATTGCTGTTAGTTGGGAACTTAGCTCGCCACGTTCCCTGTGAGAATAAAGATTAAGGAATCATGAGTAATATAAACGGTGTCCTCAAAACTAGAGGCTACGTACTTATGGCGTATTCTACTATATTCAATGTTATAGTTATCTTTACGTTTATAAACGAGAGAATTGTTTACTCATGCAAATAATTAAATTTTTCAAACTCTTTCATGACATACTTCAAGGGATAGTTCAAATGAACTTCCATTTCCAATTAACAAACTTTTTTTCTAATCTTTGCCTCACACAAAAAATATATCTATCTATATAACCCACCTCATAACCTGTCGCAACTCCAACTCCACCTTATCTCTCTCTCCTTCAATGAACTTGATCTTCTCACATAACGAAGCCTTGTCAGCTTCGAGCTCCATCCTAGTTTGTTCAGCTGCTAACAGTTCTTTGCGTAAGGAGTTCAGATCTCCTTGCTGTTCTGATGACTGGCTTGATAAGTTTGACTTCTCGTCTTCCAACTAGTGAAAATAAAAGGTAATATTATAAACGCGAAAGTTACGATGTTTGAATGTTTTTTACTCCATTATGCCAAAACCACTGGACTGATCTGGATGAAATTTGCCACAGGCGCAGGATACAAAACGGAATAGGACATAGGCTAGTTTTTGTCAACATACCAGGCGGGCGAAGCCGCGGGCGGCTAACCTACATAATATTGAAATATATATAATATTACTATTTATAGACTTCGATACGTATTACAAAAGCATTTTTCTTCATATTGAGACGGAAATGTTTAATATGATTAAAAAGGTAACTGCTTCAGAAAAATCCTTGAGGGTAAACATCGATAACTATGTCAGCAAAAATCAAATATACATCTCGCAGAAAGTTTTTTAACTTATAACAAATAACTCACATGTTTAACATCATCATGCAACTTCTTCTTGTCGCTTTCAAGGTTCCTTACAGCCGCTTCTAATTTCTCCACGAGGTCTTGCAGATCGCTCCTCTCCATAAGAGTCCTTTCCAGTTCTATCTCTAGGTCACCTAAACAAAAACAATGACATTATTTTCTAGGTCTATCAAATTAATATTGATGTTATTAGACAAGGATTCATTACTGAAACATTGTACTGAATTATTTTTACTACTATTAAGTTTGAAGTTGTGTATTGGAATAAAAAATGCAATGGTGTATTTAAGTCTGGAAGAGCCAAGCTTCGGCACGAATGGGTCGGGTACACCGGAGTGATACCACGGCCTCACAGAATACCGACGTGAAACGCCACAGCGTTGTGTTTCGCCGTGTGAGTGAGGTTACCGGAAGCCCAATCCTTCCCCTCCCCCGATCCCTCCCAATACCTAAATCTCCAAAACCGTAATCCCTAAAAGGTCGGCAACGCACTCGTAACTCCACCGTTGCGGGTGTCCATGGGCAGCGCTGATAACTTACCATCAGATAATACATCCTCTCGTTTGCCGACCTATCACATAAAAAATACTTATTAAAAACTACACTGACTCCTATGTTTCTCCATTTGAGAGAGTATGGCGTCGGCTTCGATCTTCTGCTGGTCGAGCAAGTCCCGCGCCAACGCAGTCTTGTTGAGCTCCTCTCTGGTCGTCACCAGCTCTGAGCGTAGGCGCGAAGAACGTTCTTCTTCGGCCCTGTGCAATACAAAATATACCTTTTTACGGTGTACTAAAAGTATTAAATAGTTTGGCATGCTTATTTTAGTGTTAAAAGAATTCAGAGATTTTAGATTTTAGATGAAGCGTTCCATTTCCACAAAGTGGTCAATAACAATTTCTGAAGATCCAAATAAAAAGTAACTTATGCTTAATGCTATTTGAAATAAAGTAGTAAATCTAATGAAACATACCTCAACACTGCCTCTCTGCTAGAAGCCTCGCGGTGCAGATGGTCCACCTCATCGTTTAGGTTTCTCTTCTCACTCTCCAGCGCTTCTATAGCTTTCTCTAGACGAGAGTTGATCTTTTGAAGTTTCTCATAGTCTGATGTTAGGGATTCCACCTGAAATATTCAGCGGTAAAATTACAGTACGTATTATTATTTCATGTAAACCAGTTTTATGTAAGTGTCACAGCGCCATGCTTTGGCAAGAAGAGCTCTACCGAAGCCACCAACGAAGATACCACGGCCTCGACATATCGTTATTTTTAGATATTCTACTAGATTTGTTATGTGATAGGACTGCAAATAAGTAGACGGATTACCTGATGGTCAGCTATCAGCGTCGCTCATAGACACCCGCAACAATGGTGGAGTTACGTTAAGTGTGTTGCCGATCTTTTGGGGATTAGAGAACTAGGGTTTTAGGAAATGGGGACGGTTTATGGTTGGGGAAGGACTTGGCCTCCGGTAACCTCACTCACACGGTGAAACACAAAGCTGTCGTTATTCCACGCCGATTTTCTATGAGGCTGTGGTATCACTCCGGTCAAGGCGACCCATTCGTACCGAAGCTTGGCTCTCCCACACTTAAATGATGTGCCTTCCAAAGCTAGTAGTTAACAAGGATGTTTCTAGCTCCAATACCTAAGTATTCAGTTCAATTAGTTTATGGTAATTTACAGAACTCACCATGGCATTGATCTCAACGCGGTTCCTCTCCAGGTTGTTCTTATCCATCCTGAGTGCCTCCACCGTCTTCTGCATTGACTCTTTCTCTTGCAAAAGTTGATGAAGATCGGCGTTGGCTTGGTCTAGTTTACCTGTTTACAATATTATACAGTTAGTTATGTGTAAAGAGTAACAACAGAAACCAATTACGGAACTTGATTGTGATTGTATTCTTTCTTATGTAATAAGTACCTATGTAATTTTATAAAACTTGCACTATGGATAGAGGACGAGAACAAAACGAACTCGGACGATGCGTTTAGTGGCCAGTCGGTTAAACAATTTGTCGATTTCCAACTTTATTTTAAAACAATAAAGTTCACTGCCACTCTCATCTTCACCTGTCACTCTCATCTCTCAATCACCCAAAGGTCGACTTTTAGACAATGCCTAAGGCATTAAGTCTACCTTTACATGTTTTTGTATAAAGTGTATAAATAAATAAATAAAGTTCAAAATCTATTTAAGAAATTTTAAATTATGCTATGACTGTAAATATTAAGACACTCTTTTTAAAGTGCCCCGCTCTAGGATTTGCCGCTGTGTCGTGGGTGAGTTTACAAACATACAATTTCATATGCACATCACACCCAGACCCGAAACAACAATTCGTGGATCGCACAGTTTATTCATACGAGAATCGAACCCCGCACACTTTGCACGGCAGCCGGTTGCCCAGCAGCTGTGTATCCAATAAATTAGGTATGAAGGTAAGAAAATAAAGCTGAATGTAGTACCTATAGGTACACACATTGGATCCTGATGGATGTTTTTGCTATCAAAGTACTCTTGTTAAACATACCTTGTAGATCTTGGACCTTGCTCTCTAGAGAGGCGACGTTGAGGTCGGCCGCCTCGCCGTGCTTCCTACAAGTAGATAGTTGTTCGCGGGTGTTCTGCAGTTTTACCTGGAATACATTAACATACGCTTATAATAAAGGTGGTTAATTTTTATAAAGATTTGTTATGTATTAAAATTAAAACTAAAAAGTCGTATAAAAGTTTGGAAAAGGCACGCTGAGGCAGGAATGGACCAGCTCAAATGGAACGGCCCACATTTTTTTTCATATACAAGGAAGGATTGGGTCCGTAATGAAAGTGCTGCATCACGCCGGTTTTCTGTGAGGCAGTGGTATCAATCCACCCGCGAGCCGACCGACCCATTCGTGCCGAAGCGTGGCTTTCCCATTCTTGAGAAACGTTAACAACACGTCTGTACAAGCTAGTATTGTACAACGGCCTTACAAAAAAAGTTGCCAAAAAACATATACGTTGTATTTTGCCGTGTGAATAAGAGACTTAATGTCTCCCCTTCCCCTCCCGCCCCCAATCCACAAATTCATAACATCTCCCAAAAAGCTACCAACGCACATTTCAGGTGTCCATGGACGACGCAAATTGCTTACAATCAGGTGAACAATATTGGTAATGAATGCTATAAATATAAATAAAATATTATTAAAAAAAAGATTGAATTAACACTTACTTGTAACTCATGTATTTGTATCTGATACTTGTGAAGCGCGGCTTGTACGGCCGATATCGTGCTCTCGGCGAAAGCGGTCGCGTTGGCGGATGAAGTAACACGTTTTGGTGACCTGAAATACAATTATTGCATCAGAAATAAATGTTTTAACCTTTGACAAGCCCCATTGTGACTTTTAAGACACCCCTGACGTGTCGTGAAAGAAAAGGTCATGAGGCAACCAGTACTTATAATATCTAATTATACTGTAAAAGGAATGCAGAGTTCTAATAATTAAGATTTAAATCATTAATCCGCTTTGAGCAAGCTTGTTGATTATTGCTGAAATATTTCTTCAAATGAACGCCTATAAGCTGCTTGATGTGTGTGATATGTTATTGCCAATTTTCCAACAAAGCTGATTCATCATCATCAGCCTGTTGTCGTCCACTGCTGGACATAAGCCTCCCCAATTGCACGCCACTGAGCTCGATGTTCAGCTCTTCTCATCCAACCACTGCCAGTTACCCTGCGGATGTCGTCAGTCCACCTAGCTGGAGGGCGCCCTACACTACGTTTGCCTAGACGTGGTCTCCACTCTAGAACACGTTTACTCCATCGGTCATCGGTTCTTCGACAGATGTGACCTGCCCACTGCCACTTCCGTTTGCTAATCCTTTTCCTTATCCTCAAAGCTGATTATATGAGCTAAAATATAATTATCAGTTTCTGTTTGAAAGACAAAGATGGTATCGTAAAACGGGGTAAATTAAATTTAAGGAGTGGATATAGAAAATAGGTGGATGTTGGCGAATTTTACTACTATCTATTCACTCTTCTCCTGCGTCTATTTACCCCTTGAATTCAATTCACCCCGTTTGACCGTAGTAAAAAAGACAAGCATCGTCACCTATCGTGTAGATGTAGATGCTGTGCGTGTGCGGGCGCGACGTCTGCGTCGGAGTCGTGTATGAGTGCGCGCGCCACGTCCTCCAGCGCGGCGCGCATCACGCCCGCCGCCTCGCACGACGCCTCCGCGCTCTCACACCGCTCCTCCTACACGTCACCACGTATAAAGTCACTCTCAAAACTCATAACACCATCAGATCGACTGAAATCCAAATATCTTCTAAAAAAAAATTCAAGACAATCTTCAAAATTTCTTAATGTTAGATTACAATAGAATAATTCTAGCGAGTCCTAAAGATCTCATAGATAATACTCTCACACTGCTCCTCCTACACGTGACTATTTATAAAGTCACTTTCAAAACTCAGAAACACCATCTGATTGACTGAAATCTACATATCTTTTGCAAAAAAAAAATCAAGGCAGTCTTCAAGCTTTCTTAATATTGGATAATTAAAAAATAATTTTGGCTAGTCCTAAAGATCTAATAGATAATTCCCTCCCATCCTGCTTATGAAAATTATACAACCAGGTAACATATCCAAGTGACTTATCATCAAGAAGTTAATAATTATTAAAAACTAACCCTTGCTAGACACAGTGTGATACAAAAGTAAATATGTACAAGAAAAGAGTACGATTGCAAAACATGAATATTTTAACAACCTCGAATCAACATGTACTTATACAATGCAACATAAGTTTTCATAGCAGACAAATACTGAAATAGAATTTGAGACTACAGCAAAAAGGATTTATATCATAATAAAATCCAGGTCTTTGTTAATGAACTTCATTTTGTAAACAAAATAACGACCTTAGCATTTAGTGCTTGCACTTCGCACGAATTCTAATACCTAATTGTCGTTATCAAATACACCAATACCTAAAACGGAATTCAGCTATGGACATTAAACACGCAAACTATTAGATGGTAATTCTAGTATTCTCGTTTTACCAAAACCTGAATGACATTCTTACATTCATTAAATTCGGGTTACAAACCATAGTACCTTAGTTCAAGGTGTAACAGTTTAGTGAAGGTTTGTAAGTCACATTTTAGCTAGGTCTCTCATTTAGTAGCGAATAGTACATTTTGTTTTCTGTCACTGCGATTTTCTGACTATAATTTGAGCGTAATGAAGAATAAAATATTGTGAAGACATGACAATAAGGTGACAGATATTAATAGCGTGACTATCAGCCGACTAGGATTTTCTCCAGTGATGTGGGTGCGTTTACAAACACACAATTCACATAAGCATCACACCTCGACCCGGAACAATTTGTCGATCACACAAAACGTTGTTCCATGCAGGAATCGAACCAGCGACACGTTGCACGGCAGGACGTTTTCAAGCCACCGCGTCAACCGAGTACATTATGAAATCTATTATACATAGTATGCGATGATATCAGATTCTAAATGTCTTAAAACCAATTCGTTTATTTCCTGCTTCGAGTTGAGCCATACAATACAGCACTTTACTTGCAACTTGCAACCCCTACAATTTATGGTTTTAATGAAGAACCCTTATCGTCTTTATCAAACTTTGCAGAAACTCACCAAACCCTGCAGTTCTCCCAACAAGCGTTGTATCCTTGCGTCACGTTCGCGCAACTCGGCAAGCGCAGTGTCACGTTGCGCAGTCATATCGCGCAAATCCACGCGCATACTCTCGACGCTGTAGGGGCCTGTTCCACTGACCCCGTGTCCTTGAGAGCCTTGCATACAGGGTGCATGACCAGCTTGATGAGACCCCTGATACCCAGCCTGCTGAGGTCCCTGGTAACCACCACCCTGCTGTTGGGTCGGATAGATGTTCTGCTGAGATGACTGTTGAGACAGCGGTTGGTAGTCGGACTGTAAGTAAAAAGTAAATTATATACACTAGAAATAAATATTAATAATCAATAATTTTATGAAATAGGCTAGCAAAATAATGTCATGACATTACTCAATAAGGTAGTTTCCAACTAGTAAAATTCAATACTTTTATCCAAATGTCAAAACCAATCCTTTTTTATGGAATTTGTATAAAACACCAAATTATGACGTCATAGTATTTTTGGGTCATATACTATACATATTTTTTTTAAATTAGCAAAAATATCTAAAATATTGTGTATTTACATAGCGATGAATTAAAGTATAGTTATTTTTCAATATTTTATTGTATTCAAGCGTCAAATTAATTTATTTTTGACCTAAGAAACTAACCTATTATATTTACTTCACATTTTTGGTATCCATAGTAAAACTCAATACTAAACTAACCTTCATACTCTGAGCAGCGAAAGCATTGATGGAATATCCGCTGAGCATACCAACAAGTTCTCTTGCGTTGGAATCGAACTCATTCCTCACACGGTACAGGTCACGCTCCGTGTTAGTCTGGAGCTCAGCGAAGTGGCGCTTCACAGAAACCACTTCACGCCAAAGGCTGAGCAGGCGATGGTGCTCGTTGGAGTAGTAGTCGTTGAATGCCTGTAATATGAAAGGGCTTCAGCTAACATAAAGTTTATTTTTAGCTTGTTCATCGGTAATGCGAATGTTTGGCTCGACCAAAGTGATGAAACCGCCTTACAGAAAATCGCGTCACAGACGGGGCCCTATAGGGCTAATGTTCAGCCGGGGTTGCGGGGTAAGCGCAATGAGGCACCGCGACCTCAGCCCAGAGCAGGAGAAGGAACAAGGGGGGTTTTAGTTAGTAAGAGTCTGACACTTTTTCCCGCCCGGCCCTGGGCGGGAAAAGTCATTTGATGATGTTCCCCTCACAAAAAAAAAACAGACAATCGCGTTGTTTCGCTTGTGAATGAGGTTACCGGAGACCAAAACCTGGGAAAGGTTGCCCAATCCTACCCAACCCCGTAATTTTCTAAAAGACCAATCCCCAAAAAGTCGGCAACGCAAATAACCATTATGGTGTTACGGATGTCCATGGGCGGCGCCGACTGCTTACCATCACATCACATAAATAAAATATTAAAATTAACGAAAATTTCATTTGTTTCTTTCTTGCTTGATTTATTTCAATTTCGAGTAGGTAAATTCGTCTATTTTTTTCTTATTGTTTTAGGTTTAGGTATGATTTGCCTGTGAAATCATTTATTGTAAAAAAAACACTCACAACCTAGGAGAAAATCATAGTGCAAGTAATAACTCTTTTTCAAAAATATTACAATCATTTAAATAAATACATATGTTGCAAAATGAACACTCAAATTCATTAGGTTATTGACATTAATATTTTTGAGAATAAGAATACAAAATAGTAACCTGTTCCTCATCCTTCCACTCGTCCTCCTTGATGGCCATCTCATCCCGCAAAGCCTCCCAGTCGTTGGTCAGCTTCTGCAAGTCATTGGTCAGAGCCTCATTCAGATGGTGAGACTCCTCCAGTTGGTCACGAAGCAAATTGTTCTGCTGCACCAATTTCTCACACCTGATGAATAAGAATAGAATAAGAAGAGGTATTTAGTATTGAACGTATCAGTTTATGTGAACATTAAAAAAAGTTTAATAATTTTTTTTTATTACTTGCAATAAACTAGTGCTTGACTGTGATCCCACCTGATGGTAAGCAGTGATGCAATCGTTGATGGTAAGGCGTACTAGTTTATTAAGAGCCTATTCACTCTAGCCTTTTATACTTAATTTCTTATTCTATATGATAAGTATCAATTTGTACAATAAGTAAAGGTAAACATTTACAAATATTGTTTTTCTCATGGTGTGTGGCAAATAGATCACCTGATGGTGAACAATTGGTGTGCCCATGGAAATTCTTAAGAACAAAATAATTACAAGGGCATGGCTGACTTTTTAAGGATTATTATTGATTTAAGAAGTGTGCACCTCAAACTGTGTAATGGAACTTTTTTCACATATGGCATGGTATCACTCTGGTGGATATAAAGTATTTTATATACTCCAGAAAATAAAATACTTTTACTGAACTACTGTCAATGTTAGTTAATAATCTTCTTTTAGTAATAGATGTTTTATAACAACTTTAGGGTTGAATCATCCAATGGAAAATGAATCGTTTAAGTCCTCTAAAAATGAATAACTATGTGGGGAAACTCAAAAAGTCTGAGTATGTCATGATTTCATAAACAAAGACAATGCTGTCTATGTGTAAGAATGTAATGTCTTACTAAAGTCTCTTGAAAAAACCAAAAGGGGTTCTGTGGCCAGATGAATTTGAAACCTGTTGACCTATATTTAAATAATGATGAACTATCCTTTTGCCCTGAGTTTAACACTGGTCGTCAATGATGCATACGCCCAGTCCTTACTTGCGCTTTTCTTCATCCAAACGCCGCAACGCGGTCTCCAGGTCGGTGATCCTGGCGTCTGCAGCAGCTACGGCGGCCGAGGCGCATGTGGTGGCGGAGGGCGGCGGCGGCAGTGCTACGGAGTGACTCTTCACTGCTGGAGCGCGGAAGGTGGACGACGGCTCGCTGCGTGGAGTCGTCTCCAACATCTGATTCTCCAGCTCCGAACATCGCTGCTTGTATTGCAGCACCTTTATTAAGCAACATTACAGTTATAGCAGCACTTTTATATCACAAAACTATCAGCCAGCTGATTATTATGTACAAATTTTGTAAACAATTAACTGTCATGTCAAGTGACAATTATTTGATTGACAGCTGACAATTTTGTCAGTTGACGGTTAAGTTAACGTTCAGGAATGATTTAATAGAATTTGCACTTTAAATGTGTTAGGAAAATAAATATTGTCTGAAGGTAAAAATAATGCTATGCATACCTTGGACTGAAGCCTAGACACCAAAGCAGCTTGACCTTGCTGCGCTCGACGATAAGCTTCGAGTCTACGCTTATGATCAGCAGACTCGCCGGCAAGACGAGCGCGCAACTCCTCGTTCTGCCGTCGCAAGTCACTGCATACGCTACCACCCGGAGAATCCATCTCCGGAGGACTGTCCAAAGATTTCTACGAAACAGAAAAAAAGTTAGGCACCTTGAAAATAGGCAAGTTTGATCAGTCAAACCTTAATTTATTTATTGTCAAAGTAAGTATGAAGATACATAGTATGTATGAAGTAGGTACACACCTCCTTCTTCAGCCGATGAGGAAGCGTGCTCGGAGGTCGCCTGCCGATTGGAGCCCGAGCGCTCCGTGGCGTAGTAAGACCTTCCCTACTCGGCAACTGGGAAAAATAATTTGTGGTTAATTGACCGCCATTTAAGTTATGATATCGTGTTGGTAAATAGATTCAAATATTTCCCGACAATTTTACAAAAACTGACAAAATATAATAGATAGTTATCAAATGAGTAAATTAGAAAAGTAACGACCTGAAATGTAACTTTCTTCTTAACCTTTCTTTGTTTCATTTCTAAATAAAAATGACGTGCCGACTTAAATTCGAAAGACATTCTGCACGAAAGCTTAACTCATTCACTTATCTGTGATTTTCACAAAATAAAACGTCCACCAGCTCGAGGAAATAGAAAGCAAGCCGTAATAAAAAGTAAAAAGACAACATTCTGAGGTGTGGCAACAGCGAAATTGCGGTTTGTACTGCAGAAATAAGTCGGGCGAGCTTTCCGTAGGGCGGCAAGAAACAGTGGCTATCGGACTAGGCATCTAATTATTACCGCCCACAATGCAGTTACTCACAGACCCCTTGCCGAGGTGAATAAACCTGTCCCCTTTTAGCTCTAAATAAGTACCTACAGAGGTTTTGAAATTATTGCAACCAACCCCAATGAAACTTCCGTATTGATGGCACTGACGATGATTTTCCATTTTGATTAGATTAATAGTACAAAGCGATTATTCCGTTAAGGAAAAAGTGGGTGCCCAATTGTATAATTATGATAGGTACCTAGATATTGAATCATTTTCATCGTTTTAGTTAGGTAAGCAAATACATTGGTATTTGTCACGTTTTTTCCTCAGCTGTATAGAAAAATGGAAAAGAATGTCATTATTACCTAGGTACACACTTTCAGAGAGTCTGATGTTGCCAGTGTAATATTTTGAAAAATATCAATATGGGAGCTAATTAAAGTTTAAATATGAATTAAGTATTATCTTGTGAATGTTTTGAAATTTGAATTTGATATTGGTACTAAAAGTTTTGAAATAATTTTGAAATACATGGTACCCTCAACATAGTTCTGAGTTATCTGTATGTTATCACAAGAGTAAACAAGAATCAGGAAATAACATTAATCGTTAAATATACTACAAATATCATTACAGTTCTGGTACCTGGTGCGTTTCATAGATAAGTGGACGTTCAAAATCAATGTTTTATCAATAAAATGTTATTTATATTCAAACATCGAACTCTCTGAGCATAAAATATATTTTTACCGTAGTTCACATGCGAGGTATATTGTAACTCTTTGGTAAATAGTGCTTAAGTACCTTCTAGTAAAGTTCGTAGCTCAATGTAGGTCAGGTAATAGGTCACTTACCTCGCCTCTATCGTATGCCATTCACTACTTGTAAATTTAACCTTGCAGAACAAAGCATGTAAACAAACCAACGTTTACAATCAAAATTACTATTTTTTCTATAAACTAATTCTAGTATCACTTGAAAAACTCACCTATCTTTACAAAACCGTGTTAACGTCCATGATTCGACGGGGTACGAGTATTTGATCAAAACTTTGTGAAAAATTGATAATACGTCGGTATCCTAGCAACGCAATCTAGGCGTGTTCGAAACTTATGACGATTAATTAATTTAAACCACGATTAACAATTTTGATACACACTGCATTAATTTATTTTTTCAACTTACTGTAGTCGAAATAATATTGTTTAGCTAAAGAAACAATTAAACGTAGCTATTTTATTTATGACAGTTCCATTTTCAAACGTGTTACGCGCCGAATTTAGCGCCTGGAGCAATTTTAACAGCCAGTATTTTGCACGCGCATGCGACTTTTTGCTAAACTAAATCATGATTCCTTTTTGTTGCAATACCACCATGTTCCACACGTGTTCACAGCTGTAACTTATGGGGTAAACTGGTTAAAAATTTAACAAATAAGCACCATAGGTACGAACATATTATTTCGTGGGGCGACCGATTCGCTTGACTGATCACCGCCCCCTACCTACTCGTATTCGTGTACCTACCTCAACGATATGATAATGATAACACTTTGTTATTTGGATTCCGCACCTTTGAAACCCTTTTTTGCATTTTAAAAGAAAATGTAGTTTAATAACGCAGATATTTAATCACGGTATGATTTTAAAGTGTCCAAACGTAAAATAGTCTGATCGATGTGAATTAATTGCGTTACCATTTTGTAGGAAGTGAGGTTCGTGATTGCACCATTTCTGCTGCTTCTTCAATAAAATTATACGGAACTATTAGTTTTAAATGGCACTCTATGTTGACCTAATTTCCACTATTGATTGCCCTATCCCCAAAGTCCTGCCTGATTTACAAAAGGAGCTACGCAGTAGACACTCTTTAAATACGATTTATTGCTCTATTAAATAATTTAAGTATTTATTGATTGGGAATTTTCGTGTTGCATTTCGATTTCTCTCATAATTTTTTTTAACGTTGCCCTACACTAGGATATTCTCCAATGTCGTCCATAGTAGTTATAAAGAATCACAATATTATCTATAACTTGCCATAATTACTACCTATTTACGTTAAGTAAGTGACATGGGGGCTGGAATTGGAATACTTAATGAAAATTTTGAGGATTACGAACCACAACTGCAAGTAACAACAGCAATTAACTATGTACCATATCATTGGTTTCTTACAGTTTCACCAAAAAATCTCAGTTACTACGAAGAAAGCCTGGAATTTTCTGTGTCCACAGACGTAGGTATTCGTCTGTGTGTATGACAACAGATTTATACGTAATTCCATGCGGCTCATATCAAAACCGGTGAAAAGTCGTTGTTGTTGTTGTTATTATGCAAAATTATTGAGTTTAACGTAAATATCAGGAAAATAAATGTAATTTATGACTGTCTACATTATTCATAACTGCGTAGGTATATAAATACTTATGTATTTCTTTAGTTACAATCGTCCAATGTACTTTGTACGATTGTAAAACTAGAATACTGACTGAAGGGATTTTGTAATTAAATACTACGTATAAACATCTTAGCGAAAGTAAGATTAATCGTTGTTTTTAAAATATTTCTTTCTAAAGTCTTTTTCACACAAACGTTGAAAAAATTAAGATTGTTGAGAATATTATCTTGGTCAGAATCTTGCATCCCGTGAAAGAGCCCATGGAGACTCCTGCGTAGGTCAATATTTCCATTCTTTTTTGTGAGGGGAAAAGACATCAAATTAATTCTCTCGCCCAGGGTAGGTATGGTGAAAGAAGAAGTATTAGACTCTTAATGACTGACAATCCTCCGTTCCTTCTCCTGCTTTAGGCCGAGGCCGCGGTACCTTATTGCGCTAGCCCCGCAACCCTGCACCCACACTTTTAACAAAATTATCCTACTTAATTTTTAGATTTTAAATAGCTAGCCAGAAATCCTGACAATGCCATTAAGTTTAAAAGAGGTTTAGAAAAGGAATACTTGTGTCAGGTGTAACCCTTAGGACGTACCTAATTTAAATTTGGAAAAAAATTAATCTGAAAATGTAATTCTAGTTCTAAGTTACATAACTATGCTTAAAATTTAATGTGAAGAGAAACAATTGCGCCAGACTTCAAAATAAGAACGAACACACTAGTTGTTTCGAGAAAATCGCAATACAGTAAGACAAAACACATGAAGTATGAACAAATCTTTATTGCTTAGATTGATAAGTGCGTCACAGCTTTGCGTGTGATGCGTGAGGTTCGACGACCGATACCACAATCCGTGATAAGCTTCAGTCGCTAATTTAGTTAGTAACCATGATAATATTATAAATTCTTCATAAAACACCCTGTTATTTCAATTGCTGGAAATATCTTAGGAGTTACTCGTTTATGTAATAAGCAAAAAGTTTTTATTTCAAACATGTTACAAATACACGCTGTCATTGAGCCACAAACGAAGCACAGATAATGGCCCTTTTTAGGGCAGGACATATCTATGTTCTGTAAATTAAGTATACATCTAATGCAGTTCTAATAGATTTGTTAAAAAATAGAAGCTAATTACAATCCCAGATAAAATATCATGCTGTGAATATGCAGGTCTGAATAGATCAATATCTCTTTCTTAAATTATATTTATTAACAATAGTTTTTATTTAAGTATTATATTATTTTTTAAAGGATTTTGGAAATCCGACCAGCGGTTCCAAAGATTTCTCGCTACATACAAACTTACAAAATACAAGTTTTATTTCCTTTTACTTTATACATATATTAGTATACTTAGATGGCGTTGAGAGCACGGTCTCATTTGAACACATTCTCTTGTAGACGCAACTGTGCATTGGTTCTTATTGACTGAAGGCTTGAGCGATGGACGGTCCAGTAAATGCATAGAGGAATATACTCTTTGAGTAAATGGCTATTTACTACCAACCCGTTTTATTACGCAACCATTAGTCTTTCACAAATCACTAAGACAATTAAATTAAAATACTTATTATAGCAAAACAATCAAAAAGCAATAAAAAACAGGAGCGACTGCATACCTTATCTTATCCGAATGTTATTATTGAAAGCAAAGCAGTATCAATATAATAATAACTGTCGTTTTATTTTACGAGTCATTTTATTTATAGTTGTTCATTTTTCAAACGAAGATAGCCCTTGCCCTAAAATGGACATTGATAAGCGTTGGTACCGAGCTTATGTTTGTTTTGTCCATTACGTAACAGACGGCTGCACCCTTTGTGTGACACTATCACCCGGTTTCCGAAAGGCTGATCAATGTTAAAATCAATATAATCTCTTGTCAAGTCATCTGATTGGTTGACTGTATTATCAACAACCAATCAGATGATGACTTGACAACAGATTTGACACCTAGTTAGTTGGTTTTAACGTTGATTGGGCTTTCGGTCACCGGGCCTTAGTTTGCTAGGTTACAGTGAACTTACCTTCTAGGTGTATTCTCAGTTATGTTATCTATATTGCAATAGGGGGCAAACAGACGAGCCTTTGGTGTTAGACACAAATCAATGTACGTAAAAAAACTTTAAGCATACTTACGAAAAAAACACATCAAACGATGAGATATAAGAGCAGTT